CTTGTGCCTCACCCAATGTGAAACATTCAAATAGTTCCCCATACCCTAAATCAGAAGTGAGTGTAAAGGTGCTATGTGAGTTTGCAGAATACATTGGCATTAAGAACCAAGCTAATGCAACCTTTGAGAAAGTGCAGTTCAGTTCTGCAATTCATTTTTATACTAATGTGTCATGTCCCAACAGGATTCTGGTATCTGCTGAAAACTGAGGTTTTGCCAAACAAAGTAAAGACAAAAAAATCAAGTTGTGTGGTGGTTTTGGAGCAGAGTGAAAAGTGGGACTGACTGAAGAGACAAGATAGAGGCAGGCCAACTATAAAATGGGACAAGTTATTGGGAAGGGCATGTTTTTTAACTCAATATTTATTGCAGTTGTCAAATCCAAACTTTAAATGCCAAAGTAGAAGTCCAGTAACATTTTTAGAAAAAAAGTGATCACTATTGGGACTGCTGGACCTGCAAGACAAGCGTTCCCGACTTTATCCATCATCATTCTGCAGCAGACATATTTTTTCTATAGTTGAGAGGACAAAAAAATGTTTAACTTCAGCCTGACCCCATGAATCTTTCTTCACGTGAGATTTCCCTTGAAGTGCATGATATGATTAAGTCTGCAGAAAGATCCGTTTAATAATTAAACCATTTGACTCAGGTTTTCTCTCTCTCTCTAGTCTGGTGTGATTCTGGAAATATAACTCTCCCTTAATACAACATCACAATAAAGCCTGGATATGGCAATCATTTTTAAAAAAACCAAAAACCAAATCTTGATCGGAATAAGCTTAGTGGCATGGACAATTCTTCTGTTAAGAAAGCAACTAATCTTTTATAACTGTAATGAATGGTGACCAAGGCTGGATCCTGACAGGCTTTTATCCCAGAAGAATCCATGTTTAAAAACTGCAGATTTTCCTGAGGGCCTGTCCAGACCCACCCCAGAAAGCACACACTTTCTGGGGTTGGTCTTCAGTTGCTCTTGTGGGACTGGCCCAAGAGAACATCTCCTGCAAAGCCCCCAGACCCCTTAGAAAAAGTAAAATAAACATCTGGCCTCATGTGCACTCTTGTAGTAGCTCTCCTGGCATGCAGAAATGAGCGGGTGGTATTTTCCTCCTCCTCCCCCCACCCCCACTCTCCTGGTGTGTCATTTCTACATGCTGGGAGAGATGCTACAAGAGTGCACTGGAGGGCGGGTAAGTTTATTTTACTTTTCTAAGGGGTCTGAGGGCTTTGGAGGAGGGGTGGGTATTTCCACAATTCACCGGGCGTATTTAGCCCAGTAAACTGTGGGAATACTGTCTGGACAGCAATATTCTGCAGTCCAGAACAGGATATAGTGGGTTTATCCCGCGCCTTCCAAGAAGGTGCAGAATAAACCCACTATCTAATTAATTTGCTACAAACCAGGGTTTTCCTGGTTTGTAGAGAATTAATTCAGGATTATCCAGAACATTGTCTGGACAGCCCCTCCTTTATTGCGGTAGATACTGGATGGGCACCTAGATGAATACTCATTTATAAAGCATGATAATCAAGTTTGCAGAAGACACCGAATTGGGAGAGATAGCCAATACTCCAGAAGACAGGGGCAGATTAGAGAGATCAGCCAAAACTAACAAAATAAAGTTTAACAGAAATCAATGCAAGATATTCCACTTAGGCAGAAAAAATGAAATGCAAAGATACAGAATGGGGAATGCCTGACTCGACAGCAGTACATGTGAAAAAGATCTTGGAGTCCTTGGGAACAGCAAGTTAAACATGAGCCAACAATGTCATGCAGCAGCTAAAAAGGCCAATGGGATTTTGGCCTGCATAAATAGGAGTCTAGTGTCTAGATCCAGGGAAGTCATGCTACCCCTCTATTCTGCCTTGGTCAGACCATACCTGGAATAATGTGTCCAATTCTGAGCATTGCAATTTAAGGGAGATGTTGACAAGCTGGATTTGTCCAAAGAAGGGCAATTAAAGTGATCAAGGATCTGGAGAACAAGCCCTATGAGGAGCAGCTTAAAGAGCTGGGCATGTTTAGCCTGCAGAAGAGAAGGCTGAGAGGAGATGTGATGAGGTCCATGTATAAATATGTAAAAGGGTACTGTCCTGGAGACTAGGATGCGGAACAATGGCTTCAAACTACAGGAAAGGAGAATCCACCTGAACATGAGGAAGAACTTCTTGACTGTGAGAGCTGTTCAGCAGTGGAACTCTCTGCCAAAGAGTGTGGTGGAGGCCGCTTCTTTGGAGACTTTTAAACAGAGGCTGGATGGCCATCTGTTAGGGGTGCTTTGAATGAGATTTTCTTGCTTCTTGGCAGGGGGTTGGACAGGATGGACCACAAGGTCTCTTCCAATTCTATCATTCTCTGATTCTATAAGTCTAGAAATTTTAGTCAAAAAATTGACTTAGACCGAGTCAATTGACTCAACTGACAATATACATTCTTAGTAATTGTGCAGAAGAGAGCACCCTTAGCTCTTTAATGCCAAAGCTGTCAAACAAAGACAGAGCAGCTGCTGGTCCCCATAGAGGATGGTAGCGGGGTATAAGAATAAAGCTGTTGTTATTGTTGTTGTTGTTGCTGCTGTTGTTTACATCTGATGAAAGTCATACCAAGATTCCTACTACATGCTTGCTAACTTCAATTGCATTTTCAAAAAGTTTCCAAATTCAATTTGCTTTTAAGAGTGTCTGATGTTAGGAGTGATATTAGCATTATTAAAGAAATCAAATTCTGTGTGTCATCACCACCATCAGTTTCTCTCCCGCCCCCCCGCCACCCCCCTTTCTCAGTCAGGTTATAATCTAAGCCTCGGAGGCATCCCATGGCTCAGAAGATATATTTGGGTAAATGTGAAGTTGTGAACATGTACAACCCCTATATAGGCTTCCTGAGGTTGGTATGCCAAATTGACATTAAAAGAAATTGCATGAAAGATCACAATGGTAAACACCCACTTTGGGCATAGAAGGTCACAAGTTCAGTCCTGGACATCTCCAGCTAGGGCTCAGAAAAACTCTTCTCTCTGAGAACTTTCTGTAAAGATAGCATGAAAGAAGTAGAATGCGACTTCCCACATTCAGATTCAGTTTAGCAGTGCACAAGCACAAACACAGCAGCTGCTTCACTGAATGCCCAAAGAACCCACAAGTATGCAAGTTTTTCTTCAGAAGAGGAAGATAATCCATCCAAAGTTTAGGCAGAGAACAGCTGAAAGTAAATTTATATGGCAAAGGTTTTTTTTTTACAAGAAGCAAGAGGAAACAGGAAAAGAAGAACATTCCAAAACCAAGCCCAATTTTACCAGGCAACTCTCATGTCATTTTTTAAGAAAAGAGCATGGAGGGAGGGCATTCCTGCTTAAAATAACAGGCATGGTGGGACTTGGGGTCCCAGCTTACAAATGAATTTGGCAATGTTTTTCAGGTTTTCTGTTGGCCTTGCGTGTTAACATAAAGGCAGATCCCTTTTCTGTCACTAAAGATGTTTTCCATGAAAATTGTTGCCACGGCAGAGCAGAGTGAAAACTAAAAATAAAAAATGGAAAACAGGGGTATTTTTTTTCTTTACATTCTTGGAAGGGAATAACAAGGCAAAGGGAACTTTCAGAGTGTGCCAGCTACTGATTTGTCTTGTACCTCGTGCCAAACCAATTTAAAGTTTGCTTTGGGAGTATCATTATTTTGCTGCAAGTATATCAATATGAATGGGAGTATAATTACTTTTCAAATAGTTGAGCAGGTAGGATGCAGTACTGTGGAATTTAATATCCTTTGATTGAATATTAAAAACAATCTTACAAAATGTGTTTTATTAGTAGTCACTGACCTCAGACACTGTTGAAAGAGAAATAGGCATTCTAGGCTGGAAATTTTAAAAATGGAATAACAGTAACACAGAGGCTGGCCTATAGAAGGCCAGAGTCTATGTCCTCCCCTATGCCCTCACCCTCTTATTTGCTTACTTGTGGGGTCCACCCTGCCCATCCTGCAATAACATATTGTTGGGTCTCTACACTTCATTAAACAAACCTGGCCAAAAGAAATGCACTGTGGAAGGAACTACACCTGAGCAGATGGCTCATCCCTCACAGTTATCTCCTTCCCTGTGTGCTAAGTTTGTAAAAACAGTGCATGCACCAGGACCCACAGCCCTCAATGAAGAAAAGGGGGTGCATAAAGTGATGCATGGAGTTGGGTTGTTATGTTTGGTTTGTTTGTCCTTTGTTACCTCTTGTATTCTCATTCCTTTTAAAAACCAAACTAAAAACACTGCAGTTCTGCACATATCTATATAGAAGGAAGCCACACCTAATTTAATGGGATGTACTGAGTGGAAACTAACACAGTCCCATAGGAGAGGTTACTTTAAAGATGCTTTCCCTCCTTTTTACCACAAAGTGCACATGGCTTGATATGGATTTGGACTCTTATGAGAATGTAGAAAGGAAGTGGAATTTAGCTTTTCACTCTCCCTGACGTAGTCCCTGTTCAAATGACAAGGCCCTGATTAGAAATTTATATTGCAAAATAGTGTCTGGAATTGTTGTGGAAGGAATGGTTTAAAGCCTTCCAATTCCCTCAATTTGGTCCTTATTTTAGATATGCTAACCTTCCCTTTTAGAGAAATTGTGTGGTACAAAATAAACCGTCATCTTCTCAATCAGGTATTTGTGCAAAGAGAGAGAGAATAAGCTGTTTACCTGGCAAAGGAGCTTAAAAGGAATTAGTATTTCCTTGAAATTGTTAGTAGGAGCCCTCCAATTGCTACTCTAGCCCTTGCTTAAAAGTGACACTGTCAGAAAGGAAACACCTACTGTGTACCTCCACTTGCCTCCTCATCCCTATTAGTTAACCCCAAAGTGAATATGTACACAGCTTTAATCCCCAAGTGTATATCTGAACCAGGGGAAAATCTGGAATTACTTGCAAAGTATTTTGGTTCCTAATGCAGCTGTTGCAAGTGTTGTATTTGGCAAGGGAACAAAAAAGGCACTGCATACCAATTTCGTGAGCCACTGTAAAAGCCGCATGGAGGCCGTCATCTTCAATCACTGCACAGCTGCGCTCAGGAGAGCATATGGTTCCAACGTCAGCCATTCCCAGAGTATCACATGAATGATGCCCACATAAATCCTGCCGAAGAAGGGAAGGGAAAGAAAGCATTTGAAGTCAAGTTTTGCACCCACAGGCACTGACAGCTATGAGCCATAAGCTCCTTGCAGACAGCAAGAGGTGGATGATGACAATATGCTGACACAAGACCAGCAACGACAAAGGCAACACTTAGATGCATGTTGGCCTTTTTGTTTGAGGAGCTCTGAGCCCCCCAATGACAACTGCTAAGACCAAATGGAAACTATTTCCATTTATTGCAGTGATCTGAAGCAGCCCTCAAATTAACCACCCATATTTACCATCCATGTACTATTTTAATATTGAAAAGCACAATTATTCTAAGTGCTTTAACAATCTACAGACATATGGTAATTGCTTCGAGTGGGGCAATTTTTGTGTATGCCTTGATGGACCAGGAGGTTGCATTCCAATCTTCTTTTTCCAATATAGATCAACATGAGTATCTATTTTTTGAGATAGATAAGAAAGTCATATATTTACAGTTAACACCACAATGAATACATTTGCCTATAAATTGAGTAGAAAGAAGTTTGTTAAAAAGTTTTTAATGTGGCAAAAAGTGAAACTGACAAGAGTCAGTCTTACAGGCTTGGATTCTGCCTAGCTCTTGGCTTTGAATCGGGTATATTGAATCATGTTTCGGGCCCTGAATTTGGGTTTCCATATTTTTCCCTTGACAGACCCCCCCCCCCCCCCCGCCCCCATGGGTAATAACTGCATGGCTTATAGGTATAGAACATGGCTGAAATACCTGTCCCATTCAAATTTGGCCAGTAGAGTAAGTTGAACATTTTGTTTGTTTTGTGTTTGCACTGAATAGTCCTAAATTAAATTTTTTCACAAATTTGTCACAAAGGAATTTTTTCAAGAGTGTAAGAGAGAGAAAAACCCCAAACTGACATATCGATCCAATCCTGTGAATAATCACCAATACTGATAGTTGGTGAGGAAGGTCATTTTAGCAACTGCTTTTAGCTATGAGATTTTTTAAAGCTTCCAAGGGCTCCTCCAACTTAAAACTTCAAGCATGTTGGTGCTATTTCTTCTTCATTTTCTACTAACTTGCCTAACCTCAGGCCTTGGAGAGCTACCAAAATAATTTTATTATAAGGTTTATTTACAGTTATAAGGCCAAATCTTTGGCCTCTTTATGAGATCCATAGTCAAATGACTGGAATAATAAATAATCTCTGAACCCACTTCAATCTTTACTTTGTTAATGTAGTCAGGAATTAACTATGGAGGCAAAGTAAATTTAAAAGTAGCCAAAGGAACTTGAAAACATCATATGTCCCTAGTTCAGATCTTTCCCCAGGTTTCCACAATAAGTGATTATGAAAGTACATTTATAGCTGGTGTGCAAAGCATACATATCATTCATGGAGGCACACTAGATCTTTGCAGATTATTATTCATGTTTTATGGGTTATGCTCCTGTTCAATTTTCTTATTCCAAAAGATTGGGAACTCTATGTAGCTGTGCTAAATAAATAAATAAATAAATAAATAAATAGGGCTACCACTATGGCTTTGCAGTGCTTTGCCTATATCACTTCAATAATAAAGGATCGCTATGTTCCACTACATACTTTAACCAAGTTATGTTTAAAAGCATTCACAGATTAGCATTTGTGCTTCAAACTACACACCCTCAAAAGGATTCTGATTTCACTGTGGCAGTATTAGGAAAACCAGGAGGGAAGGTTGAAAGAATGGAGAGAGGCTAGACTCATTCCTCTCAAGATAAACTATGGCTTATCAGTAATCTAAATGCAGCTGTCAGGTTGGACCAAGATATACAGGCTATCAACAGCACACCGATCTATTAATCTAATACATCTTTAAGTATCATGGCTCATCCCTACACAATTTTGGGATCTCTCTAGATTAGGGAAACCTAAGCTACAGAGATACCTGGAATCCTGCTTGGGAGGCCATCAGACCTATCAAAGAATTCTAAGCATTCCATGAAATACAAAGCCCAGGATTCCATAGGATGGAGGCACACAAGTTAAAGGGGTATCAAATAGCCATAATTACATAGTATGGACTAGGATAGAAAGTGTGCTGTCGCACACTGGGCCTGAAATAATGTCTGCTTACAGGACGTGCTCTCTGTATGCCCAACGGGACGCCGGGGTGCCTCAGCTGAAGGGCCCTTTAGATTTCCCAACACAAAGTTCTATTGAGGCTCAAGATAAGTTCAACAAAGTTCTTTGGGCTTAAATCTTCAAACAAATGAATTAAACACTTTATAATTTTGGAAAACCGGTAGTTTCCTCATTCTGCAACAAGGGACAGGCAACTGGTGGTAAACTGTTCCTTTCTTCCTTAGGGAAATCCTTTGACCCCTCCCTGGGCAATCTCTCTTTACCTTGCTGGCATGAGGCCCCTACTCCCGGCTCCAAGCTGCTTTATGGATAGCCCGAGTGGTCTCTTACCAGGCAAGGTTCCTGTAGATCTGCCAAGCTTAAAGGTGTTCTTTAGTTTCTCCACGAAGGCTGTAGGAACTATTTCTTTACTCCCCAGCAGAGCTGTGGATCTATTTCTTTAACCCCCAGCAAAAGCTGGCTGTATTCCCCCAGCAAAAACTGTGGAAATTCCTTTACTCCCCCAGCAGAGCTGTGAGAAGTGAAGCTTTTGTGCAGGTGGGAAAGAGAATCCTGCTGTTCGGCTTCAAACAGTGAGACTGAACAAAGGTCCTCCCCCCCCCCCCAAAGCCCTGGGAAAAGGGGTGGGTCTAATGATTCTAATCCTCCACATTTGCAGGTTTAATTTCTGTAGTTTGATTGTTTGAAGATTTGATTAATATACTCCCTCCAGGGATTTATAACTTTTATAGGGTGAGTCTATGGTCAACTTCTGGCAGAAGTTGACCATGAAGTCACACTGAAGGAATGAGAGATTTCTAGGGAAGTATTGTCTAGGTTTTATTTATTTTTCATTCACCATTTTCCCACTTTTGCCTCTGAACTCCACAAAAATGGAAGGCCTCTGCACAACAATAGAGTCTTGGGTGCCACAGACATTACCCATGCATATAAAATATGGTTGAACTGCTCATCAAATTAGTTTTCTGCTTATATTTTCATTAAAATACAGTAAACTAAGATACCAATAATGTCAATTGCATACCTATATTCAGTGCCTACACGTGTGTGTGTGTGTATATATATATATCAGAAGTGTACATGTGTAATCTTTACCACTACATATACAGTATATGGAACAGCCCCTCCTTCATTCACCTCTATGTTCTAACTATGCCATTAAAATGAACAGGTGAGCCCTGGCTGTTTAGAGTTCACTCTGCAAGCTGTATGCACACCAAGGCCACTCAAGAAAGACCTAGAATGGTACAGTGGTAAAACCTTGATTAAAAACAACACCTGTAAAAACAACTCAGATGTTTCCTAAGAGTAGGTCCAATCATGCCAATTCTATAGTTTATAAAATGTGTGAATTAGTAAATGCCTTTTCAATCATGTTGTTTTTATAAGAAACAAGCCAAGAAATCTATCAGCATGATGCCTTCTTTCTCCAAATCCTAGATTTCCCAGTTTCATTCCAATATTCCTTTTACTAACTCACCACTTCCATGAAAATTATATACACAAACTAACTATATTATTAATATCCTGTAGTGACTCTTAGCCATGTATACTTAACCTCTTACACTTAAAATGTTGGCAACAGTTATACAGGGTCTTACAGACATGTATTTTTAACTAATGTTGTTTAGATATGTGCATGTGTTTCCATACACATATATGTTCTCCTATATTTAAGAAACTGCACATTTCATGAAAATATCACTCAAACCATGAGGCAAGCAGTACCTCTGTTTCACTTAGAAACTAAGCCAAATTTCTCCTCAGTTCACAAATCAGCTTTGCCTCTGCCAAAATTCATAAATATGCATGATTTAGGCAGAGGTATTGAAAATTTTGTGAACAAACTTGGGGCTTCATGAAAGGAAATGAAAGTAAACAAATACTTTCATGAAAAAAGAAATACCTTGCTTATTATCCTGACTGAACATCGGGCATGTAGCCGGGGGGGGGGGGGGGGTTGGGGGGCTTCAGCCCCCCCCCCCCCGAAATTCTCATGGTGGTCCACGAGAAGGCCTTACTGGTGCATTATTTAAACTGTTATGTTTATTCATATCATGATCTGATCACCATACTCAATATATCCCATATGCATGGGGGTATTGGGGTAATGATACAAAAGGTTTGCTAGGCTAGACCCTCTTTCACTCAGACTCAGCCCCCCCGAAACTCAGCCCCCCCAAACCCCCCCTGAAAAAAATTCAGCCCCCCCCCCCCCCCGAAACGAAATCCTGGCTACGGGCCTGACCTAAGTGTAATGTTTAGGTCAGGGCCGGATAAATGTTATTGGAGGGCTGCATCCGGTCTGCTGATTTAGCAGCCCCTGAGCTAAGCCTATCATGCTCGAGTTACAGCCATAACTTGCTGAATTGGCTTTAAAATAATTAGACATCATATGAATCATGATGGTTTGAAATAAACCATGGTTTGGACTCAATTTGCAGTATGACATTTTGAAAATGGCAGCACTAATGATTTGGCTTGTTACAGAATGCCAGTTGTCATTTTCTATCACATCCCCAATGAATGGCAACACAGTACTACTGTATTACATTGATCAGCTGGTCCCACAATGAAAGCGGGTCTCTGGGGATCTGCCTTCTCACTAGCTTTAGGCAGCTAGTGGTTTTGCTAATAGTAGAGCTTTAGATCATAACATTGAGAAAACAATGCTTTCTGCTTAGGTAGCATGGACTATTAATCTGCTTTAGTCTTTAGTCTTCTGCTTTAGTCTTCTGTCTGCTCCACACTATGGTTCTAACGCCCAGTGACCTCCAAAAGTAGAGCAACAGCCAAAACTATTATAAGTTCAAATAACATGCCAGTCAGCAGATACCGTGACATGCAAATCCTCTGCAAAACGTTGTTTTTTAAAATCTTGTTTGC